AAATTTTATTATTATAGCTGGTGTAATGCTTTGCTTAGCAAAATTGTGGCTTTTACTGCAATATGCTTAACAATATGTGCTCAATTAATTCAGCAATATATTTTGAAGCCAAAATCGGTGCAGCTAAATTTAATAAAGCTAGCATTTGAAAATGTTAGTTAAATGAGAATTACTTAATATTTCCAACGATCATCTGAAAAATGTCATTTTTAAAAAAATAAATGAAGACAAAAAATAAATAAATAAATAATAAGAAAATAAGCTTAATTTCAATTATCAAATATATTTCAATTCATATTTTAAAGTATCAGGAAAATTTTTTTTGTGTCTATAAATAAAAAACAGGTGCTTAATTAAGGCTTAATTAAATAGTTACTAATGAGGGTTAAAGGGAGAAATATATGCCAAACATAAATTTTACTATTAAGGTATTAGAATAATTGCTTAAGCATATTTTACTCTCAACTTTAACATCTAAACAATAATTTATATTGTTCTTAAATTAATTTTTCACTTACTTAAATTATTTCTTTTCAGCAAATTGTTTACGAATTAAAATTTGTGAAAGTTTGCAGTGAACAAAATAAGCCGAAATTTTATCTCATAAGCTGAATGAAATTTTAAAAGAATTGTTATTTTTAAAGAAATTACAGGAATTAATGAAGTTTAAAACGTAGATTCTTTGTGTTAAATTACTATCAATTAATTAAATTCATTAAATATTAATTAAACTTATTATAATTAAATTAATTCATTGTTATCATTTTTTAATTATCACATCATTTTACCATGCAATCAAGGATGTAAAAGTTTATTCAAAAAAAAAAAAATTTTTTTGAAATTTAATGTAATATTAAGAGAGAAATATAAAAATCAAAAAATTTTCTTTTTATATTTATTTTAGGATTATGAAGCAATACAAGAGCTATATGAAAAACCGTATTATATGCATCTTACCTTACTTATCGCTTTTTTAATTCTTATAACTTTGTTTAATTGTTTTGGAAAACGAATTACCAAATGTGAGAATTTTTTAAAAGAAAGAGAATAAAACGAGATTTAAAAGAGATTCTTTAAAAGAAAGAAAGAAAAAAAAAAAAGGTGGAAAATTTGAAAAGTTAAAAGAAATGAAAAAGAATAACAATTAAATCTCTCTTTATTTTTATCTATTCCAAAACTTTTAGGAATCATATCATATATTATTAGCCAAAGAAAATTATTTATTTAAAGTGATATTGCAGTAATTGTTCAAAAATAATTGTTAGATCATACGGTAGCATTACGGTATCTAGTATACTGTATGTAACCAGTTACAGTACCAATTCATTTTAATTAAATAAATATTAAAAAGATTATAAAATAATAGCATGGATGAAATTTTATCAATCATCTAATGTTAACAATCATAAATGCACGTATTTTTCCAGGGATTTGTTGGATACCTTTTACAGTATTCATCATTTTACTTGTTGAAATTTTTATTTCGGCTAGTATAAAGATTATTCAAGGAAGTATTGATTTACGATGCATACATGAACCTATTGAATTAATTTCAAGTGAATATGTTTTTTTTTTTTACTAGAAAATATAATCTTATGATGGTATCAATTTGTTTTAAATTCTATTTTTAATTTTATTTACAAAAAAGTTTTGCATAATTTTATATACAATATTATATTTGAATTTTACACTCAAAAACTTAAATGAATGAATTGCACGCTGTAATTAATTAAATCCTAACAATGAAATTTAATATAATGTAATATTATTGTAAACAAAAAAAAAAAAAAATACAAAGAAAAAATTTTAGCCAAAATTGATTTATCATTTAAATATATAAATAACAAAGAGAAAAAACAACAGAGAGAAAAAATTTCAACCAAAATTATCATTTAAATATATTTTCATCATAAATGTCAAATTTTTTATCTCAAAAAAAAAAGAGCAAAAATTAATTTGTATGTAAATTTTTCAGAAGATCATTATTATGATCAAGTTCCAGTGCTACTGTATTTGTCACCAAATTATACAACTATACCACCAATAAGTGGAACAATTTATCCATCTGCTATGGAACATTTCTGCGAGTAAAATTGATTGAAATATTTTTAATCATCGAAAAATTGTAAATTTATAATTTTCAAAAATTCATCCATGAGTTAACAATGCTTTTTTCTTTTTTAAATTTAACAAATGTAAATATTTTCAATATAATATAATGAATAAATAGTAAGTAATTAATCATATGATAAATGAAACGAGTAAAAATTAATAATTAATGAATGATTTAGGATAAAGAAACATGAAAATGATAAAAAACTAAGATGTAAATTAACAAATTCTATCGATCATTAACTTTCTAATTTTTGATAACATTCGAATTTTTCATACCTACAACATTCTACACTTTTTGAAATCAGATGAATTTTGCCAAATTTTCCTTTCATTGTATTTAATTTAATTCCAATTTAGCTTCATTTTTAATATTTAATACTTGTTTTTGGCGAAAAAAAAGAATTAAATTAAAATTGAAATCAGACAAATTTTATTGCTAGCCATTTTAGCAAGCAATAAAATTTTCATTTTTAATTGACAAATTAAAATAAATGAAGTAGGTATATTAGAATGATTTTTGATGAAATAGAAGTTAAAAATCTCCAACTTTCAAAATAGTTAATTTATTCATAATCGATAAACTTATTAATCAGATAATCGATCAAAAAAAAAGTTATTTTTAGATTTTAGTCTAAAAAAAAAAACTGAAAAACTTGTCGTAATTTATTTCATTTTTTCTTATTTCAAATCTTTGCTTAATTCTTTTTTTTTTCTTTTGCTCACCTCTAATTCATTCCTGCTTAACAATTATTCGAGAAATATCACATTACTTATCTATAGATATCCGTTCTATACAATCAATTGCACTTCTGATAACATCAACGATTGTCAGTTCAGTAAATTTCATTTGAAAAAATTCAAATGGAATCTGAATGTGATTAAATTCAATTTAAATGATCATATCATTGATATTAGCAATGTAAACGATTTTGATTGGCGGAATATTATTTATGATATACATTTCTTTAAAGGCATCTTTACTACTGTTAGTAAATTTTTAATTTATATTAAAATATTTGAAAAATTATTAAAATGTACCAATTAACTCTTATTAAATCTTTCCTTTCTTTAAAACTGTCTCTATTAGTGTTAGTAAATTTTTTAATTTATATTAAAATATTTGAAAAAAATTATTAAAATAAACTATTATTAAATCTTTTTCTTATTAAAAAACAACTTTCATTAAATCTTTCTTTTCTTTCTTGAATGATTGTTAAATTAAACAAAACATAAAAATCAAATAAAATATTGTATTTTATCAGAGTACGTATGGAGAAAATATTCTCACAAAATTATCTACTAATATATTTATATTAATGTTTAATTAATCTCGAATTTCTCAATCATAAGAAAATTAAAATTATTGAAGAAAAAAAAAAGAAGCAGAAACTTATTATACATATATATATATATGTAAATATCAGAAATGATTTTTTTCTTACTTTTATTTTTATGAATTTCTAAAAATTTCTAGATTTCTTCTAGAAAATTGAATCGATATATATGTGCAAATATCAGAAATGATTTTTTTTATTTTATTTTTATGAATTTTTAAAATTTTTCTAGAAAATTGCAGAAGAAATTTTCGATGAATTATTTAATTATTTTCTTCGTTTTTTTTTTTTTCTAAAAAATCATTTTTAAGGCTAATATGAAATATGCATCAATTATTGGTTGCGCACTTCTCCTATTACCATTATTTACCGGTAGTGTTTGTGGTATTAATATTTCATCGATGCTAAAATCACCAACCAAAAATATTCCTAATGGAATTTTTAGCAGTTTATTAACAATGCTTTTTGTAAGTAATAAAAATTTCATTTTTCAATATTTCAAAAAGTTTAAAATTTAAAAAAACAAGAATATCATTATTCACATTACAAAAAATTTCCATATATTATAGCTAATAACAATATTAGCATGTTCATTAGCATTTGGTATAGAGCGACATTTATTGCTTGATAAATATGGTCGCGGTACTTATCCCAGTTTTCCAATTATCTTTACGGTTATTGTTTATATTAATTTATTTGAATTTCTTTTTTTTAAAAATTAACTTTTTAATTTTATAAAAAATATTAATGACCCAATTTAAATAATTTTGTATTTCAATTTTCATATTTTATTTCATTCAGATTTCTTATCCATTAGTACTTATTACCGGTTTAATGCTTATGTCAATTGCTTCAGCAATTCAGAGTATGTACAGTAAGTTATGTTATTCATTTCGAATTGATGATTTGTTGAAAAAAAATTTTTGAAAAATTTAATTTATTTAATTAGAAGTTATTAGTAAAAATTAACAATTAACTTTCTTCTTCTTTTTTTTTTTAACTCAAAATTCGATAAATTATACTTTGCATATATAAAATAATTAATTGTAATTAATATTTTACTTAATTGATTAAATGAATTGCTCATTTATTTTAAATTTCTCGATTTTTCAACCTTTTCTTTTTTTTTTTTTTTAGCAGCTAAAAGTTTATTGCTAAGTATTATCACCAGTCATACAATTCCGGTACCACGATTTTTCTATCAACGAGCTAGCAAACGGCGCAAATTTATTGCTATTGCAATAACCGCCCTTCTTATAATACCATATTTGCTTGTTAATAGTATGGATTATATATCAATTATTGCAAGTTGTTGCATGCTTGTTGCATTGATAACAATTAATTTTGCAACAATCATTTGTTCAATGCTTAATTTTCCCAGGTAAACGAGAGAGAGAGAGAGAGAGAGAGGAGGAGGAGAGG